TGTATGTGCGAGGGTTGAGCTATAGTTCCGGGGTTCGCCTCACCATCTTTGGTGATGTGTACATGAATAATGGTCTGCATGACCTACCATTACGTCATTACCTATAAGAAAAGAATGTTTGTCCAAGGTTGGTACGGGCTCACCATAGCCCGTGCTACTTGGAACTTGTTCCGAGTAGTTGAATCTATAACAACAACAACATCCAAGGTTGGAGGCCAGATGCATATGGCTAGCCTCATCCAACTTACAAGCATGAAACATGTGGGGTACGGGAGTGTCATAGGCCAGTCGGGGTCGGGCCCAATGCCGCACCTTAAGAGATATCGACATCTACACAACCCCCCCCCACTCCTCCCCCTCCCTGAACTTTTCATGGTCAAGCCTGATATATTGTTGTCTCTAGACTTATTTAGCAATTTAAAGTTCTTTATGTAATGCTGCTAAACTGCTAAAAATCCCCATCACGCAGGATGGTTAGTCATACAAGGCCATGTGACCAGCGTCCAGATTCACGAAGCAGTTACGCAAGTACTTACGAACGTGTACATCTTTCCTCGATCTTTGACGGCTTTGGTTACATTTATGAAACAGTTTACAAACATGAAAACTTCCCAATCAACTGTTGTTATTGTTATAAACAGCCTCCTGGTGCTTCGGAGCTCATTAACTGTTTAATAATTATAAACAAAGCCGACAAACATTGAGAAAAGATATACAGGTTCGTAAGTGCTTGTGTAACTGCTTCGTGAATCTGACCCCTGGCAGTAGTCTGCACTGGCAAACTCTGGGTGCATTATGAGGATATCATCAGGAGCGCGAGAGTGAATAAAGTAACTACAAAGTTCCATGCAGGTGCCTCATGCACTCGGCATATAGTCTAGGGCAACTGTACAAATGCTGATGTATCTAAGTGTGTTAATACAAGCAAATTTATGCAATTTGTGAGAGAGTGAGAGAGAGAGAGAGAGAGAGAGAGAGAGAGAGAGAGAGAGAGAGAGAGAGAGAGAGAGAGAGAGAGAGAGAGAGAGAGAGAGAGAGAGAGAAGGGTTGAGAGGGAGGATGTTTGAAGAGACGGAAGGAGAATGGAAGAGAGAAGGGAAATATTTGAAGAGAGAGCGAGATAAATGGAGGAGAGGTGAATAAGGGGGAAAGGAAGGAGAAGGGTGGAAGAGGGGTAACTGGGAGAGTGGATAGGGAAGAAGACGGACCAGAGAGAGGGATAGGGTGGATATTGAGGAAGAAAGCTGGAGAGAAAAGGATAGCAAAAGAGAGGGGAAGCTACTGAGAGAGTTATGAGAGAGGGGAAAGACTAGGACAGGGCGAGAGAGACCCGGGCGAAGCTGGGTACAAACCTAGCTTGACATATAACATCTTCAAAAATGACATTAATTTGTACTACTGGACCTACACTGTAATGCACACCATTTTTGACGAAGAAACTCGTTATGGTTGCAATTATTTAACCATGTCGTAGCTCAGTCGATTAAGGCAGCGTCTGGGATCCTCTCGAACGTAGGTTCGAACCCTCGTCACGGCCCTTGTGGATTTGTTCATTTGCTGCATCACGCTATTGTGATTTCTATGTGTAAGAAGCTCGTTGTTTGTTAATGAAGATCACACTCCTGTAGGCATTAAAAATCACATGAGAGCAGCCCAAGACATAACCCGTAACAAGAGACATTAAACCTGATTTTAAAGCACATGTTTAATAGACAAAGACCAAATATGTAAGGTTACAAATTCTTGAAACCCTGCACATGTAAGCAGAACAATCCACCATATAATTACAAACAACATAATTACCCACTCTCCCTTCCCCGACTGGGGGGTACAAGGCCTAAACGCCAAGAACCTAATGATGATGTCACTGCCCAGAACCTAATGGTGATGTCACTGCCCAGAACCTAATGATGATGATGTCTCTACCCAGAACCTAATGATGTCACTGCCCAGAACGCCACGCCCATCACCGTCACCAGAGTTTTCATTGGCCCATCACCTGACGAAACTTTGTATGCAACTGGCCCCTCAGTTATATAAACCACATGTTCTTTAATTCTGGTCATTCCTCACTTGAGAATGAACCTTGTAGGTTCGAAACGTGGAGTAGACTATAATATGTACAATACCTTTTACAGTTAGTTTTTTGGTTATGTTCCTTCAATCTGAACCAAAATGACATTTGGAGAAATCCTCTTCCAATTAAAGCAAGATGGAAGAGCATTAGTTAGATGGATAGAAGCCCTATCAAAAAAATAAAATTGCAAATGCATCTTGCAACAGTTAGAGCCTCGTAGTCCCAGCAGGAGAATAGGCTGGTGGAAGTGCATTAATCTGTAAAGGTCAAACACTACAACAATCAAATAGAACACAATCACTTTAAGTAAGGATTAACGAAAATTTAGCCTTTGTTTATGAGGACGGGCGAAGCATTTAGCATCTTGTCCTTAGATCAAGTCCATTCCATCCAGCGGTCGACCCCAAAGACGCATTCATCACAACTGATGAGGTTCGAACACTTCCGGAACAAGTGCTTCACTGACGACATTTGTTCGAACCACAACGCTGTAAATGCTTCACCCACGTACTACAAATACAAATAATCGCCAACAGAACCTAAACACCTAACCTATGTCTAAATATGCACAGTATGCTAATATATAACAATATTAATTTATATTTGAGATAATTCCTGTTTTAAATAAACAGCATATTAAAATTGATGAATGCGTCTTTGGGGTCGACCGCTGGATGGAATGGACTTGATCTGATGACAACATGCTAAATGCTTCACCCACACATTGAAAATACAAATAATTACCAAGATAAACAAAACACCTATTATAGTCCTAACTGCAAACAAAATTATAACATAGAATAATATTCATTTATATATATTACAATATACACAATATATATTACAATATTACAATATATGCTTTGGATACACAGACCAATGACGAAGAAACAAATCCACAAGGGCCGTGACGAGGATTCGAACCTGCGTCCGGAAGCATCCCAGACACTGCCTTAATCGACTGAGCTACGACAGGGTAAAAGGGTTGAAACCGAAGTTCTACTGAACTTACTGGATCCCGTAGCCTCTCCGAGGCACAAACCGGGTTTTTAATCGACTGAACTACGATATGGTAGCTTGTGGATTCGGCCCTTGTGGATTTATTCATTTGATGCAACACGCAATTGTGATTTGTGTGTGTAGTGTAGAGAGTAGGTTCAGTTAGACCTTACCAAGTGTACCGCTACTGGAGGACCTTGGCAAGATCACGCCTATTTTGGCAGGGTGTGTTAAAGAAAAACACAAAATGATATACGATGTGATTATCTTGCAGTTATCAGTATTAGTATTCCGTGAAAGTATTAGCCAAGGCTGTATAATAATCCTAGGGAGCACGTTATAGGGGGGGGGGGTCCATTATGCTACGGGAGAAGTTTTGCAATTGTCCTAAGGTCTTAGGACAATTGCAATTGTCTTAAGAAACTTTAATGCAATATGGCTAGTAAAGGCCAAGCTGTTTTAACACGTCCCAGTGTGTGTGTGTGTGTGTGTGTGTGTGTGTGTGTGTGTGTGTGTGTGTGTGTGTGTGTGTGTGTGTGTGTGTGTGTGTGTGTGTCAGTGTGTACAAGAGGGTGAGTGCCGTACCAGATGCATAACCAAGAGTCACACTGAATCAACAAATAGATCATTTGCAAGGCAAAATGCACACTCCTACGAAGGCTGCAGAGTGGTAGCCTTACATACTAACATATCACACTCCTGACTCACCGTAGTGTGAAGGTGGTCAAGGCTGACATTACTCTTCTGCCTCACCGTAGTGTCAAGGTTAACATATCACACTTCCGCTTCACCGTAGCGTGAAGGCGGTCAAGGATAAAATGAAAGCCGCACAAACATCAATGAATCTCGTTGATAATCTTCCAGTTGATGAAACTGCATCTTGGTCAGCTATGAGCAGCCTCTAGTAATGAAGAAAGAGGTTTGTTTATGGTGAGAGTGCCTCAAGATCGACCTCCGAAGCACTCGAGGCACCTTGCTGCAATCTTGGACTAGTTCACAACTCTGTAGGACGGGGGAGTTGTGTAAAACCCTGGTTTGTGTCTCGGAGAGGCTGCAGGATCCAAGTAAGTTCAGTAGAACTTCTGGTTTCAACTCTTTTTGACCATATCGTAGCTCAGTCGATTAAGGCAGCGTCTGGGATGCTCTCGGACGTAGGTTCGAATCCTCGTCACGGCCCATTTGGATTTGTTCTGTAGGACGGCTTCGCCCCGAGGAGAACATTAAATGATTTAATTATCAGTAATTAAGGGCCATAAATAACACCGGTACACTGTTATTTATCAATACGGCGTATAATATTAGCCATTCCCTGACACAGCTGTACTTCCAGTTATCTTAGATAGCGAAACAATAGTTGAATTGTTTGTAGTAGCTTGTTTGTTGAAGGGGAATTGCCTTCACGCATCGCTCAGGGTTGTAACAAATGAACAACATAAACCGTTTGCATTCCTTCCTTCGTCACACTCTCTCTCTCTCTCTCTCTCTCTCTCTCTCTCTCTCTCTCTCTCTCTCTCTCTCTCTCTCTCTCTCTCTCTCTCTCTCTCTCTCTCTCCTCTCTCTCTCTCTCTCTCTCTCTCTCTCTCTCTCTCTCTCTCTCTCTCTCTCTCTCTCTCTCTCTCTCTCTCTCTCTCTCTCTCTCTCTCTCTCTCTCTCTCTCTCTCTGTCTCTGTCTCTCTCTCTCTCTCTCTCTCTGTCACTCTCTCTCTCTCTCTTTGTCTCTCTCTCTCTCTCTCTCTCTCTCTCTCTCTCTCTCTCTCTCTCTCTCTCTCTCTCTCTCTCTCTCTCTCTCTCTCTCTCTCTCTCTCTCTCTCTCTCTCTCTCTCTCTGTATATCTCGCCGATTCTCGTCTCGGGAACAACTTGACTGTCTGGTCTCGTCCTGGGCACACCTTACCCTCTGAGGCAACACCTGTCATAACTGACAGCACACCTGTCATAACTGACAGCACACCTGTCATAACTGACAGCACACCTGTCATAACTGACAGCACATCTGTCATAACTGACAGCACACCTGTCATAACTGACAGCACATCTGTCATAACTGACAGCACACCTGTCATAACTGACAGCACACCTGTCATAACTGACAGCACACCTGTCATAACTGACAGCACACCTGTCATAACTGACAGCACACCTGTTATAACTGACAGCACACCTGTCATAACTGACAGCACACCTGTCATAACTGACAGCACACCTGTCATAACTGACAGCACACCTGTCATAACTGACAGCACATCTGTCATAACTGACAGCACACCTGTCATAACTGACAGCACACCTGTTATAGCTGATGCAACATTTGTCATAACACATCTGTAACAAAAATAATTATTAATAAAGGTGTGTCCTTACTTCACAGGACCAGCAGACCATAGGTTGATTCAACACTGCGTCACGTACACCACAACATTGCGTCACGCACACCACAACACTGCGTCACACACACCACAACACTGCGTCACACACACCACAACACTGCGTCACACACACACCACAACGCTGGACCACCAGGCCTCAGGTTGAGTCAATACTATTGCGTCATCTGTCAGTGAAAACAATCTCTGATATTCGATAGATTCAGCTCATGGTCGTCCGCCTCGAATAGTTGGGACAGCAGTTAAAGTTTTATAGAAGGCTAAAGTGTGTCAGTGTGTCAGTGTGTGTGTGCGTGCGTGTCAGTGTGTCAGTGTGTGTGTGCGTGTGTCAGTGTGTCAGTGTGTGTGTGCGTGTGTCAGTGTGTGTGTGCCAGTGTGCGTGCGTGTCAGTGTGTGTGCGTGTCAGTGTGTGTGCGTGTGTCAGTGTGTGCGTGTGTCAGTGTGTGTGCGTGTGTCAGTGTGTGTGCGTGTGTCAGTGTGCGTGCGTGTCAGTGTGTGTGTGTTCGTTTGTACGCACATCTGTTTGTCCCTGAATTTGGTAGTGTGTACTCCCCTAGTTGTGCTGACGTCGGTTCCTCTATCCCGTCTCTCAACCGCTAATCAACTGGTGTACAAGTTGCTGAGCCTATTGGGCCCTATCACATCTACATATGGAACTGTGTATGGTGTCTGCCTGCACCACATCACTTCCTAGTGCATTCCACTTGTTAACTACTCTGTGACACTGATAAAATTATGTCTAATGTCTCTGTGGCTCATTCGGGTACTCAGTTTTCACCCGTGTCCCCTTATTCATGTACCCCTTCCTATCCCGTGCTAAATAGTCTGTCTTTTTTTTTAACTTGTCAGTTCATTTTGTATGTGGTAATCATATCTCCCCTAACTCTTTTGTGTTCTGTAACGTGAGGCTTAATTTCTTTAGCTTCTCGTAGCTCATACCTCTCATCTCCTGGACTAGGCCGGTGACATGCCTCTGAACTTTCCCTATCTTTGTCTTGTATTTAATTAGATATGAACTCTACACTGGAGCCGCATACTCCACGAGTGGCCTGACATATGTGGTATGCAAAGTTCTGAATGATTCCTAACACAAGTTTCTAAAGTTTCTTATCCTGGCCAACCTAACAGATGCCGTTAATGACAATTCTTTTGGTGAAGGCTTTAGAACTTAAGTGACAAGGTCGGTGTGGTATCAAACCCTTCAGATCTATATACCTGAGCTTTGAATATTTTCATCTCCCAGTTGGTACCATGTGTTAGGACTCTTGCTCCTTACACCAATTTTCATTACTTTACAGTTGCTTGAATTAAACTTCAGTAGCCATTTGTTGGTCAATTCCTTCAGTTTTTTCCAGGTCATCTTGTAGTCTCATGCTATCTTCCTCTGTCTTAATCCTTCTTTATCATTTTTGCATTAGTAAACATTGAGACGAATCCCTCTATATCTTCCAGGCGATGAGTCACAATAACGTGGCTGAAGTAAGTTGACCAGACCACACACTAGAAGGTGAAGGGACGACGACGTTTCGGTCCGTCCTGGACCATTCTCAAGTCGACTGTGATGAGGGAAGTTGTTATTGTTCTTATAGATTCAGCTACTCGGAACAAGTTCCAAGTAGCACGGGCTATGGTGAGCCCGTAACTTACCTGGCACAGGAGCGGGGCAAGTAGCACGGGCTATGGTGAGCCCGTAACTTACCTGGCACAGGAGCGGGGCAAGTAGCACGGGCTATGGTGAGCCCGTAACTTACCTGGCACAGGAGCGGGGCAAGTAGCACGGGCTATGGTGAGCCCGTAACTTACCTGGCACAGGAGCGGGGCAAGTAGCACGGGCTATGGTGAGCCCGTAACTTACCTGGCACAGGAGCGGGGCAAGTAGCACGGGCTATGGTGAGCCCGTAACTTACCTGGCACAGGAGCGGGGCAAGTAGCACGGGCTATGGTGAGCCCGTAACTTACCTGGCACAGGAGCGGGGCAAGAAGCACGGGCTATGGTTAGCCTCGTGGACGGGAGATGTCTCCCGTGATGAGGGAAGGAGATGAAGGCAATATCTTCTGCAAGATTGTTTACGTATATCAGAAAGAGGATAGGTCCGAGTACAGAACCCTGTGGGACTCCGCTGGTGACATCTCACCATTCTAAAATCTTTCCCTCACACAGTAACTTGCTGTTGTGTTACTTAGTTACTACCTCACCCAGCGGAGCGCCACACTCACTCACCAACACATACACCTACCTTTATAAGGTATTGTCTCACAGGCTTCATCGCAATCAAATTTTTATTGCCTGGTCATATAATTCTATTAAATATTTAAGTTTGGTAGCTTTATTTGTCAAAACTTTATAAAGTGAATAATATCAAATTATATTATCTATTTGTCCATCACGTCAATATATTTATTGCAAGACCAGAGTGTCTACTTGAAGGGGAGGAGTCACGTGACCTGCCTGGCTTGAGACGTTGCCACATCAGAGAGTTAACCTTAACATTTACAATTGTATGTGGCAGCCGCGTTAATTATTGGCGGTAAAAACGTCATACTTTGTACCCTGGACTTACGACCTCCTTATATTACCGTGGACTTACGACCTCCTTATATTACCCTGGACTTACGACCTCCTTATAATACCTTAGAGCACTGGACTATAGTGTAGTGTAGCCTTCACTACTCTCCCCCCCACCCATCAGTACACAGACTCCCCCTTCAAAACCCCATCAGTACACAGGCCTCCCCCTCCCTCAGCCCCCCCGCCCCCCCCCCAATCAGTACACAGCCCCCCTCCCCCCTCAGTACTCTCGGCTGTACCCGCCATTTTTAACTCGTGAGTGTTGAGATAATGTCATGGTTAACACACTGTGAGTGGTTCAGTAGCGCCTCATTACCTTGACTTTTATTGTGAGGCTCTCACACTAACCCTCACTTTTATATATTATTAATTAACATCTGTTATCGTTATGTTTACATTATTATCTCAGTATCTGCAATCATTATGCAAATATTTAAAAGAGATAATCTATATTTGTTAGAATATTATTCAACTAAGCCAAAGTCTTATTAAAATATTTATATGTAGTCTATTTTCCTAATATTATTTACAGTCGTTGGTGATTTTAACATTATTTTCTAAATCTAATCTTAACATACACCTTATACTGTCACTTCAATAAATATATATATATATATATATATATATATATATATATATATATATATATATATATATATATATATATATATATATATATATATATATATATATATATATATATAAGATAATAAGCAGGTTTTATCTAATACACATCATTAAGCACAACAGTATTTTGACTATTATTAATTTTCACAGCAGTGACTACAGCAGTAGGAAATGCACCAGGAGCGGCAACAGCAATAAGTAGTCAACATTGTCGTCAGAATAACTCACCTCATCCGTCTTTGTGTCGTGCAAGGTTAGTTCACTACTACTTGAGTGTCCGTACGTGAGGACAGGGGCTAGGCCCTGGGGGCTATAGGGCTGGGGTCTGGGAAACTGAGGGCTGAGTCCTTGGGGCTGAGAGCCCGGGGCACGCAGGAAAGAGATAAGACATGTGGCTAATTCTAAGGTGGTTGAGAGATAAGGAGCTGGCAGTTGAAGGATAAGGTATTTAAAGCTGGATCCTAAGGACTTGAGATTGAGTTCTGTATCAGGGAGCTGAAAGCTAGGCACTAAAGGCTCAGAGCTGGGTGTTGAGTGAGGTACTACCAGAAACTTTAAACAAATACTCGCAGTTTGCTAACCGTAGGTAGGGAAGGGAATCTCTCAGGGGAAAGCGCCAGACCATTAGAGCTATATAGTACTTGGAAGGGGTCAGGATAAGGATTTGGGATGGGACAGGGGGGAAGGAATGGTGCCCAACCACTTGGACGGCACGGGAGACATCTCCTGTCCACGAGGCTAACCATAGCCCGTGCTTCTTGCCCCGCTCCTGTGCCAGGTAAGTTACGGGCTCACCATAGCCCGTGCTTCTTGCCCCGCTCTTGTGCCAGGTAAGTTACGGGCTCACCATAGCCCGTGCTTCTTGGAACTTGTTCCGAGTAGCTAAATCTATAACAACAACAACTTGGACGGTCGGGGATTGAACGCCGACCTGCATGAATCGACCAAAGTGGTTGGACTAAAGTAGTAAATGTTGGTGACTGTTGTCTTTCCACCGCTGCCCGCTAGATGGCGGACTGTGTGCAGGATACACACATCAGTTATGAAACTACCTCACCCGACATATGTAAGTTGCTTAGCTTAGTAACTGTGCTTGTGGCCCGTCTCGAACACATTGTTGATATAACAATATACATTACATTTTGTAACTAGCTCGTCAAGACTCTAACTTGCTTAGCTAAATGAATTTTAGTGTTCAGTCCCTGAACCCATTCTGTTCCTCACTTATCTTTTCCACTGCCGCCCACACGATGGGTGTGGGGTCCACCGCTGCCCACACGATGGGTGTGGGGTCCACCGCTGCCCACACGATGGGTGTGGGGTCCACCGCTGCCCACACGATGGGTATGGGGTGCATAATAAATGAACTAATATAAAAACTGTGTCCTGGGTGCCGAAAATTAGGCACTTGGGTCCACGCTGAGAACTAGCTGATGTCTAAGAGCTCAAGACTGAGGTCTCAAAGAAAACTTGGGTCTGAGAGCTGGGTGCCGAGGGGTTGACAGGTGGGTGCTGGGGGGAGGGGGAGGGGGGGGGGTGTGACCACATGCCACAGGTGATAAACAAGAAGGTGGGTGAGCCAGATACCTGTAATCAGGTCCCGTTGGCCAGGTGTGGCAGCCCCCCCCCCTCCCCCTACCCACCACAACACACTCACAGTTGCCACTTTCTCTCCGTCCCACAACCCTTTCCTATCCCACTTATTTGTTGATTGATTTATTTATTTATACAAGATTCCTTACATTCTT